CCTACAAAGAGGCAGGCTGTAATCTCCAAATCCATGCCAGGGTAGACAGGAGCTTGCTTTGGGACTTGTCTTCTCATCAGCTCAACAAGAGTCCCACTTTGTTTGCCTGCAGGGCAAGCGCCCTCCCAGGGGGCTGGCTGCGCCGGGATGCTCGGGCTGCAGCCCCTGGAGTGGATGGCATTTGGGAGCTTTCATCTGGAGCCATGCGTTACACCAGTTCCCCCATCCCAGGAGCAGAGCTGCGTTGCTCCAGGGCAGAGCTGGGACTTTGCTCTACATTTGAGTGACTGCAGGTTAAAATCTTATCGTTTTCTTTCCTCCCCCCTGTTCACTCTCGTCCTCATAAAAGACACAGGCAACTGGTTTAGAGCCTGAAATAACACCTCACAGGGGACCCGTGAAGATCAGCAAGTTAATCTTTACTCAGAGCTTCCAAAGTGCATGGCACTAGCAGTGCCCTAATCGCAGGGGCAAGGAGGACACAGAAAGGACTTGACTCTTTGGGGCTGGTTGCCCATCTTCTCCCATTGACCCTAGGAGCAGTGGGCTCAGCCCTCTGCCTGGCCTTGTGCCCCATGGAGCCCCCCAGAGCCACAGACTCCATTTTCCTCTTGCATGCCCTGGAAAAGACCATCTACCATCACCTCTGCATGGCACAGGTATCCTGGCACCCTTTTCCCATAGCAGGACTGATAACAGTGATTGGTTAGGCATTGGGACCGTGCTAGGGGGGGTGAGCACAGCTGCTGCTACCCAAGCCCTCCATCTGCCTTCTGCCAGAGTCTGAACCTGCACTCAGCCCCATGTCAGGGTGAGAACAGCCCCCACTAGAGGGGCAAGAGGATCCCCATTCTCCTGGCTGTGTGGCTGGGCTCAGTCTTGCTGTTGTCCCCCAGGAGGACAAGGTAGCTGGCTTGTCACTTCACAATAACAAGGGCATGGAGGGATGCGAAGCTCTAGGGACCTCAGCCAGACACAGCAAGTGAGCTTTTCCCTGGCTTTCCCGGAGTGACCTGGCCAACATGAGCACTAGGGAGAGGCAAGGGGCTGAAAAACAGAGGGCAGGTAGAAATGGGAAGGAGCTAGGTCTGTGGCACGCTCAACCTGTCCTCTCCCCACAACCCTTGCTGCCCTACAACAGCAAGAGCAGTGCTCTGGTCTTCCCCTGGGAGGGCTGGGTGCTTGGGCCTCAGCTAGAGGAGGAGAAAAATACCCCATCATGCATGACCCAAGCCTTCCCAATAACACACAAGCTCATAGCCTGCCACCCATTCCCATTATGAATGGTATTTAATTCTCCTTTATATGTGGTTTGCCAATAAAAGGCTCCATTAATAATTTACAAGCAATAAAGAGTACAGCTCCTATAAAACGAGGGTTTGTTGCAAGCTTAGTGTCACTCCAGCCGCAGCAAGGCATTGGCGCATGAGCCGTGCTCCCCGTGCCGCAGGGCCAGAGGTGAGGTAGACAGGGGAAGAGAGGACCCAGAGAACACAGTGCTGCAGGGCAGGGGAGAGGGAGGTGATAGGAGAAGGGCTTCAAATGTGTATGAGAGATGCTCCTACGCAGGCTCATCCCACACGGTTCCCCCACCTTTCCCATCTGGCGATCTGAGCACGTACCAGAGACAAGGGCAGCCCAAGGTGATGTGGAACAGCCCATAAGAGTGGTTTCCACCATGATGGTGGAAGACGTCTCTCCAATAAAATACAGAAAGCTCAGACTGGGGAAGCAGCACATATTACTCCCCAGCTCTTGGCAGCTTCAAGAGGACCAGAAAGGCTACTCCTGGGGGCCTTTTCTGCTGGCAT